GTGTGTGTGTGTGTGTGTGTGTGTGTGTGTGTGTGTGTGTGTGTTGCTGTTTGTACTAGTCCGGACTGATGCCGATTTATAGTGCTAGCCCACTGAGATACCATGCCGCAGTTTAACATGAATACCCCACTCAGACACAGTATACTGACTCCGAGCCGACCAGTCCTTGTTTTAGCCCCTTAATGCCGAGCGCCAGACAGGGTAACAACAAGTACCATCTTTTAACGTCTTTTGGTATGACGGGGATCGAACCTCGGACTTTCCGCTCTCCGGGCGGACGCTCTACCACAAGACCACGGAGGCGGCTAATTGTTCAGGTACAGTCTCTCATCACGCCGAGGACCGATATGATTGTTCAGGTTCAGCGTTTCGTCACGCCGAGGACCGGGTTTGATTGTTCAGGTACAGCGTTTCGTCACGCCGAGGACCGGGTCAGATCGTTCAGGTTCATCGTGTCATCACGCCGAGGACCTGGTCAGATCGTTCTGGTTCAGCGTGTTGTCTCGCCGAGGACCGGGTCAGATCATTCAGGTACAGCGTTTCGTCACGCCGAGGACCGGGTCAGATCTTTCAGGTTCATCGTGTCGTCACGCCGAGGACCGGGTCAGATCGTTCTGGTTCATCGTGTCGTCACGCCGAGGACCGGGTCAGATCGTTCTGGTTCATCGTGTCGTCACGCCGAGGACCGGATCAGATCGTTCTGGTTCATGGTGTTAAAGTCCCCACTCGGTGTTCTCAGTCATTGAATTTCTGGAGTGTTCCTGAAAGAGGCGTGAAAGCTTGCTGTTTGATTAAGAACGCAGGTTGACATAGACATTATAAGTCCGCATCCCTTGAATTTGTACAACGCTCATATTTTGGATTTCGGTATAGAATAGGTCCCCTGAAACCAGGTGGTCAGGCTCGGTGACTTAGTGTGTCATGGTACCCCTACCGCTCATAATATAAATCACTGGTTTGTCTGGTCTCGATTATTTACAGCTGTCGTGTTCTTGGGAGATTGCTAAGCGCGGCGTTAACCAAGAAATATAAATATTTTGTAATGAGCGTGACGGGGCTTTTCCTGAAAATCCAGTGTATTATGCATCCATACTATATGATACATACAATGGATAATCGAGGACCAGATCTTCACTTGCCGGCAGTCTGAACACTGAAAACAAGGTAACACTAATTTTGTTTTTCACCCACACACTTGTTGGGTTGGGTTGTTTAACAGGGGAGGGTCCAGTTCATAATGACAGAAGGAGGTGACAGGCGAGTTTCCATCCATACTTAATGTTAGATGTTAAGTAGGGCTGGGACGAGTCCAAATTTACTACCCGGGTACCCACCACCCTATTACCTGACCCTACCCGGGTATACTCCAGCGTGATGACAGCGGTATGTAAATAATTGAGTCTGGACCAAACAATCCTGTAATTGACATCATGAGCATCGGCCAGTGTAATTAGGATGCGATGACACGCAATCAACCAAGTCAAAGAGCCATTTAGTCGCCTCTTATGACACTCATGGGCTGCTAGGACCTATGTGCTTACCGGAACCCTCACAGGCCCTTGAATGTGCACATTGAGGAATATCATAGAAAAGTTCTGAGAGTTGGTGAGACAAAATTGGGTTCAACTTAACGTTCAAGGTTATTGTACGCATATATCAACTAGAGCGTGCGTGCGTGCGTTTGTGTGTGTGTGCATGTGCGCTGGAACTAGTCGAAAATAATGCCGGATTTTTGGCGCTGGCACTTCGGACAGGCGCTCTATCCACTACACCACGGAAGCAGTCCATGGAAATGGTAATACACACAGTTCGCAAACAATTGATCTTTAAAAAGATCAAATATTTAGATGGAGATGTATTCTTTACGGGTATCAACAGGACAAAAATACTCGTTTGCATTTTCCAGTTTATCACTTTTAAAACGATCCGTAAAGATAAAATTATAGGAACTTGTGGGTACTTGCGTTTTCCAATGTTATCAGCGCTTGTAAAAGATTGTGCAACATTAGCACTGGACTCGACACTAACGTGGCTGTGGGAGGGATTCGTAGCTATGTGGGGCGGTCGGGTAGCCTAGTGGTTAAAGCGTTCGCTCGTCACGCCGAATACCCGGTTCGATTTCCGACATGGGTACAATGTGTGAAGCTCATTTCTGGTGTCCCCGTCGTGATATTGCTGGAATATTGCTAAAAGCGGCGTGAAATCATACTCACTCACTCGTAGCTATGTACTGGTGAATAAAATAAAGGATACTAAAAGCGGGGCGGAATAAACAGCCACGATTCCAAGGCTCCCTTAAATATTGGCCAATATGCATGTATGTCTTTAGTTTAACTTAGTCTGTTCGTCCTTGATGTCCTTGCGATCGGGAAGCAATCCTAAGAACATGTTAAGATTTTGATATGGCTTTATCATCGTCTCACATAAACCACTACCATCCAAGGCGAGTGAGTTTGCCTGTAGTACCTTGTGTAGTTGATATGACAACGAGGCACACTGTCGTAGGCCTACTGTATTCATATTCTTGCATTAAACCTACTCTTCATGCTTATATGAATACAACTTCTCTGTAAGATATTACATTAACATTTAGACACGCATGTCTAGACATCACAAGACCAAACGGATACACAACGACGACGGCTTAAATTAGGACTTACATAGGATTTAACTCCGTGTGGGTATTGGACATATAAACCCAGTAAGGTTGCAAGTCTCCACTACCTTGTCTGATGTGCCATTAAAAGGGTTAGGTTTATGATTATGGGAACCTCAAACACAGACCTAATCCATTTATAATATTTGGCCAGGGGCCTTGAGTCACTGGGAAATAAGCACCGTTAGCCCCAGACTGCAAGATCAAAGCCAAAGTCTTTTGGATTAATTATTTGGATAATTCATAAATTCCTGAACAGATTACTGTGTTCGTCTTAGCAAGAAGGTAGTTTTGTCTAGGGGCAATATAGATTCCTTTATATTAAGTTTTGCATGAATAAAACAATTCGGAACCGGTGGCATTCTTTTAATTGTCCTGCAATCCCTGGTTTCGAAGGAACGGTGCGATATGGGAGCATTAATATTTTATGGTCGCTTTGTGTAATAATCGCCGCTCAGGCTGCCAATAGACTGACAAGAGTTACCTCGCTTATATTAGCTAACTGTTATCTCACCTAACATTGAAATACAAGCTTCTGACAGTGGTGACGGAGCGGGCATCTATTTCCCTTGCAGCCCGCTCTTATAGCCCGATCATGTAGGCCGCTGAAAAATCAATCTGAACACACCTTCGGTAACTTGCTTATCTCGCACTGTTGCGCTGAAATGAACCAATGTTTATCCGAATGCATTGGGTAAAGGGAAGTAACTCGGAAGCGCCGTCTGCAAGCGTTTTACTCAGTGAAACCTCGAAAATATATTCCGGGTCTGAATGAATGAATGTCAGTGAGACAAAGTCCTTGTCAACCGATATGGGCATATCACTGATGTACCCTCTGTGGTTGGTTTGTTGTTTAACGCCGCGCTTAGCAATATTTCAGCTATATGACGGCGGTCTGTAAATAATCGAGTCTGGACCAGACAATCCAGTGATTAATATCATGAGCATCGAGCCACGCAATTGGGATCGATGACATGCATCAACCAAGTCAGCAAGCCTGACCACCCGATCCCGTTAGTCGCCTTTTACGACAAGCTTAGTCACCTTTTACGGCAAGCATGGGTTGCTGCAGACCTATTCTACCCTCTGTGACGACTCGACGTACATAAGCTTACACAGGGAACATCACACCATATACCCATCCAGATCGGTTCGAATAGGTCTTCAGCAACCAATGCTTGCCTTGTTAGTCAGTCAAATTATCGGACATGTTCAAATACTTTCAAAACTTTAAACTTTTTTCTTTCTTCACTAGCAAGGTATTCTGATAGGTTAGGTCAAATGCGGTTTAACGTGTGTGTGTGTGTGTGTGTGTGTGTGTGTGTGTGTGTGCAAGTACAGGAGTATGGCTAGGATGAGTGAAATAGCGAAGTCCGTGACCCACTTTGTTTCGGTTGTCCCCTCGCCGTGATATTGTCTTATAAACTGTCGGGTGGGTCAGTGAGTGAGTGAGTTAGGTTTTACGCCGCTTTTAACAATATTCCAGTTATAGCACGGCGGGGGCCACCGGAGATGGGCTTCATACGTTGTACCCATGTGGGGAATCGAACCCGGGTCTTCGGCGTGAGGAGCCAACGCTTTAACTACTAGGCTACCCCACCGCCCCAGAACACAACTAAGATACCTGTATTAAATACATTACCATAAGAGAATAACCATTTATTGTTTGTTTCATTTCAGCCACCATCAAACATGGGTGTATACTTTGTTTTATTTGGCAGTTCATAACAAGTCCAGAACATCACTAAGATGAACACACCGAATCCCAGACGCATTGGACGCGCCATGATACCCAACTACTGAAATTAAGAAAGAACAGCCTTTCAGATAAATTAATTATTTATTGTAATTTTGTATTATGACACAGAGCCTTCTAAACAGTTATGACGATTCATTCCGTTTGTGAACTGTTTACGAAACATGAAAACTATTCCAATTACTTAAACCTGGTACACAACATCAACTAACATATTGTACGCAGAATAATTGAATTGGAAGTAGGATGATATTACATTCAAACCGTGCCTCAAAGTCGTCACATACACGAGTTACTTGTTAGACTAGGCGCTGGGCACACATTTACATGTGTATATATGTTTAATGAAGGAATGTAAGAGAGTGAGTGAGCGTTAATTTAACGCCGCATTCAGCAATATTCCAGCTTCATGACGGCGGCCTGTAAATATTCGAGTCTGGACAAGACAATCCAGTGATTGATATTTTGAGCATCGATCCACGTCGTCGGGATACGATGACATGCATCAACCAAGTCAGCGAGCCTGACCACCCGATCCCGTTAGTCGCCTTTTACGACAAGCATAGTCGCCTTTTACGGCAAGCATGGGTTGATGGGGACCAATTGGAACCCTGAATCCCCACGCGGAGAAAGGAATGTAAACTTTGGCCCGTTACACAAAGCAACCCTCGCGCTACGACACACAGATATAACATGGTTGAAAGTGGTTATTTCAGGATAAAACGAATAGACGTCATAAATTGATGAAACACGGTGAACACGATGAACATCGTTTCTAATTCAAAGATTCGAGATATAGATGCGACTTAAATGTCGTGTATTAAGAAAAACTATTTCGTGCAACATGTCTTATCTTAGAGGTTAAAACGTGAATGGGTTTATAATGTTATATATAGATCCTAGAACTACCGCCCTTGACTATTCAGCCAGTAGTTTGTTTTATTGTTTGTTTGTTGTTTAACGCCGCACTCAGCAATATTAAAGCTATATGTCGCCGGTCTGTAAATAATCGAGTCTGGACAAGAAAATCCAGTGATTGACATCATAAGCATCGATCCATGCAATTGGAATACGATGACATGCATCAACCAAGTCAGCGAGCCTGACCACCCGATCCCGTAAGTCGCCTCTTACGGCAAGCATGGGTTGCTGAAGACCTATTCAGCAAGTATCATCATAATACATGCAATATACTGTATGTAGATTATGAATTATATGTCACGTATCTCGCGCCAGGATATATCTGTTATTGTCTTACTGTTCGAATACAACGATAGTACTTGTAACCATATGGCCAAATCTCACTATACATACACACAAATAGAAAGTTATAGTTCGTAAAAATACAATAATGACAGTGATAACAGCTTCAGCTGAATGAATATGTGAAAGAAAAAATATTTGAATGAACTGTACAAAGTTTGTGAGAGAAACTCTTGTATTAAGAAATGTCCACAAGTAAAATTAACATATCATCTGTCACTGTAAAATGTATCGAGCAGAATCTATGTACATAGGCCTGTGGCCTATTTACCAAATAAAGATGTCATTTGTCAGCCTCGCGTGGTGGCTGATACAAGGGAGCTAACTCTTCCACCGCTGTATAACAAAATAACAGCCGGTAACCGACATCGCTCAATAGTTTAGGCACAAAATATAACTTTACACACATAAAACAATTTGAACACGAAAAGTTTCTTTTCACGAAAAGGCGGATATTGTCTTGATGATAAATTATCTTCGTTATCTTGAAAATGGCCCACTTCGATAACAAGAATGCATTAATGTATTTATAAACATACATTGACAGTTTTCAAAAGAATGATGATATCATATATTTCTCTAGTATCCACCATCCTCAACTACAACATGAACAACTCACAAAACAATAAATCAAAAGTACGACTCTTTCGACGAACAAATTTTCATTTTGCTTGACCTTTTCAGTAACAATGTAGGTCGAAATCGGAGTCCAAAAGTCACGGTTAATAATGAGACTTGTATCAACAACTAGTAAAAAACCAAGTCTAGTTCCTTCAAGACCGAAGAACCTGTGGTAACTATTGTCATGGCACTGTGTTTTTGGTTGTCTCATACAGTCACATTCCTCCCGAAGACGCGGCGCCTTTACCACGTGAACAAAAAATCTCATGTTTTCCCACTCGGTGTACAGATTTGAACTTTCGTAAAACACAAATTCCACATCTCGAATTTCGATGAAATAAAATGCCTTCAGTAATGAGTTAATACAAAACAGGCGACACGTATAGCAAGCTACGATGAGCAATAATACCCCCAGATCTACATGTATATTAAGGTACAATGACGCCCGCAAGGGCACAGGTATAGTAAGGTACGCTGTACAAGAATAACACACACATCGAAAAGCATAGTAAGGTACGCTGTACAATAACACCACCCTCAGATCTACATGTATAGTCAGGTTTGTTTGTTCTTAACGCCGCACTCAGCAATATTCCAGCTATATTACGGCGGTCTGTAAATAGTCTGGACCAGACAATTCAGTGATTGATATGATGTGCATCGATCCCCGCAATTGGGATACTATGATATGCATCAACCACGTCAGCTACCTGACCACCCGATCCCCTTATTTGCCTCTTACGACAAACAGTCGCTTTTTACGGCAAGGATGGGTTCGCTGAACACCTAGTCAGGTACAATGTACAAGAAAACCCACAGATCTATAGGTACACAAAACAGTAACACTCTCAGACCAGCATGTACAGTAAGTACGCTGTACAAGAACCCCCGCAGATCTATATGTATACTAAAGTACGCACAACAATAACACCGGCCAATATGTCTCGTGTCCACAAGTGTTATAATTTTGATTATAAAACGTCCAAGCTCCAAGCTACCTAAATCCTTCTCCGTTTATGTTAGAAAGACTGGACATGAGCTATACGCTCATCGCCCATATGTACATCGGTAATTTGGACACACACATCTTTGGGTTAACCAGTTTTACTTGACTCACGGCAACGTGATGTCTCCCTTTCTCACTCATGACCAGAGAAAGCACGTTAATATCCAGGCGCTGAGTATTCTGTGCGACCATTCCTGGCAATCCATAAACACAACACTGACAAGGCGAGGGCCACTGATAAGTTAGTGATAACACTGCACTGTGGCGTGGTTTGACCAAGCTTGTCTTCAGTCACTACCCACTTGAGTCGCTCACAGTTGGCCCACGAGCTTCATTCACGAGTATTTGGGAGTTAATGCCCTCACATGTAACACGCTAATTGATTGCTGAATAACAAGGCGAACATTTGTGAAGTGACGGTTGGCGACTGCAATCAAGTCAACCGAGTCATTTCCTCACAGAACCATCAACATAACACTTGTCCTTATTCAGTTCTAGAAATGCTTCTCTTTAAGAAGGGCACCTTGCATTTCAGGCTTGCTAAACATCGACCTGTGACTTTTGGAGTATTGTACATGAGATGGATGATAACTTGTTAAAAGACCGATAATATTCTTTAAAGTTTCAGTGGAGAGGAAGTCTTTTGTGTTTTTCGATCAGGGCAATTTTTTCCTTTGTCGTTTTTTCAACCATATATTTTTATATACTGACCATGATTGACATGAAGTTCCGTCCATATTTTGCACGTAATTTGTTTCTCGGCAGATTTTTACGAGTCATGCAGGACCCCTTTCCACAAAGCGATCTTTGCACTACGACTATCGTAAAAATATGTTATAGTATGGGAGTTATGATCATCTTAGCGCTATGATCGCCTTGGGGAACGAGACCCAGAATATGTTTTCATAGACCTTTCTCTTGCTTCAGAATATGACATGGCCGGCCATATTAACCAACTGTGTAGTAAAGTTGTCACCGAATACGTCAGCTCCGATGCTTCATCTTTAATCATGCTACAAATAGAAGTATGTCTGTGTGATTCCGAGCTTTGCAGCGTCTCTGGCACTTGGCGGCACCAAGTCCACACTCTCGCCTGAGATAGACCTGTCCAACAGTTGTTCAGTGGCCTCCTGGATCTTTTGCGCGAATTTAAATTTAAACTTGATGTCTCTTTTGAACACTGGAGCCTTCTTCTCACACAGCCGCATTGCACTCTTCATGAGAGGGATAGGGAACAGGTCATGGCTGTTGAGAGCAAGCCGGAACGAGAGGGTCGACGACAGCGGAAGTTCGATCAGTGTGAAACCGGAAGTGTTTAGTACGCATGCCACGACGCTTCTTTCCTCGAACGAATCTAACAGAGTGAACAACCCTGAAAACTGCGTCAGTCTTGGTTTGTTTCCACCGTACACATATCTGACTACCATTGGGAACTTCTGACTGGTGATGATGTCTGCCGATCTCAAAGAAAGCTTCCCATTCATGAAAGGATTCGGCAGAATCTCTGTAAACTCACCCGGATGATTGATAGGAATGATGACATCACTCTCCCGCTCATCCCGACACTTGAGATAATGCATCTCTTGCACATGCAAACCGTTTGCAGATTTGGCACGCATGATCTTGGAATCTGGTTTGACTTTGGTGGTTCCCATGATGACTTTGTCGATGATGAAGATGTTTCCGGGTGTGTACTCCACACGCGGGTAGTCGTTGGACGTTTTGTTGTGTTTTGACAAGTGGAACGCTGTGATGTTTGTGAGGTTGAGAAAAGCGGGAACTCGGCAAGCGGCGAGTGACTCGATGGAACGATGGACTGTGTGGTCCTTGGCTGTGCGAGACTTTAACCGGACGAAGCGACCTGCAAAAGAAGCGATACAGTCAATTCACGTCCTATCAACAAATATAACACGTATATATCATCCACTTAAGGAGTGAGTGAGTCGGGTTTTACACCGTTTTTAACAATATTCCAGCAATATCACGACGGGAGACACCAGAAAGGGTTTACACGTTGTTCTGTTTGCATGGTGTTTTACGCCGCAATCAGCAATATTCCAGTTATAGGACGACCTTCTGTAAATAATCAAACTTGGGATAGACAATCCAGTGATTGACATCATGAGCTTCGATCTATGCAATTGGGATACGATGACATGAAATACATTAAATCAACCAAGTCACCGAGCCTCACTATCGATCCATTTGGTTGCCACTTACGACCAGCAAAGGTTGCTGGGGATCTATCTTTTTTCCCAGAACCCCAAAGGGGTCTAAACTGTTCACGGGGAGGGCATGCCATACAACATAAAGTTTTAGTTCATTTTATCGCTGTGATATGTGCATATTTGTTGTTTAGTATGAAAAAATCACCTCTGATGTAGATGAGTGAGTGAGTGAGTATGGTTTTACGCCGCTTTTAGCAATATTCCAGCAATATCACGGCGGAGGACACCAGAAATGGGCTTCACACATTGTACCCATGTCGGGAATCGAACCCGGGTCTTCGGCGTGACGAGCGAACGCTTTAACCACTAGGCTACCCGACCGCCCCCTGATGTAGATGAAGTGTTGTTGATATGAGCACCTGATCTTCCATGATTTCCTCAATGATACGAGATCCGGTAGAATAGTTCTCCGAAAGTATGAACACCCTCTCTTTCAGCACATGGGTTGGGTGGGGATGGGTGCCCGTGATGGATGGGATGGGGTGATGTTTCAGGAACGCAGGTAACACATTAACCATCGATAGCATTAATCAAGCATATAATCATCACATACAGTAACTAGTATTTAATTGACAATAATACGATAATTCGCTTGCTGGAGTTTCTCTTTCGTAATCTGTGTATTGACCTGCGAAGATCTTCTCTACGTTTAAAGGCGTAATGTAAAACTACGTAACTACTATTTGCTTTGAATCAAAGGTCACCAGACACTGTGTACCATATGCCCATCCATTAACACACACAGCCGAGAGCAGTGGAGATATTTTGGTTATTTCTCAAAATGAATAATTTCTACATGTAGACGTTGTCACACTGCACTGGCATAGTGAGTGAGTGAGTTTGGTTTTACGCCGCTTTTAGCAATATTCCAGTAATATCACGGCGGGGGACACCAGAAATGGGCTTCACACATTGTAGTGAGTGAGTGAGTGAGTGAGTGAGTGAGTGAGTATGGTTTTACGCCGCTTTTAGCAATATTCCAGCAATATCACGGCGGGGGACACCAGAAATGGGCTTCACACATTGTACCCATGTCGGGAATCGAACCCGGGTCTTCGGCGTGACGAGCGAACGCTTAAACCACTAGGCTACCCGACCGCCCTCACACATTGTACCCATGTCGGTAATCGAACCCGGGTCTTCGGCGTGACGAGCGAACGCTTTAACCACAAGGCTACCCGACCGCCCTCACACATTGTACCCATGTCGGTAATCGAACCCGGGTCATCGGCGTGACGAGCGAACGCTTTAACCACAAGGCTACCCGACCGCCCTCACACATTGTACCCATGTCGGTAATCGAACCCGGGTCTTCGGCGTGACAAGCGAACGCTTTTACCACTAGGCTACCCGATCGCCCCTGCACTGGCAAACGTTATGAAGGAAATAATGTGTCCCATTATGCCGCTTTATGGGCGTCGCCCCGTTGTTCCTGTAGCCATTGTGAAGCTAATCTTAATTGTGTTGCAAGTGGGGAGTCCCATGGTCAGCACACACTCCAGTGACCACACTGTCTCTGAGTGCCAACTGCAGCAGGAGACTGACCCGCACAAGGTGCCTATCTGCGTTATTGACCATTGATGACCACAGGCGATTTCTAGAGCAGCAATATTGATGTAGTGAGTTCCTAAGGACAGCCCAAAGACTCCTTTGCTGTCAACAAAAGGTCAACAGAGTGCGACTGAAAATGATGGTGTACCTGAAATGTAATTCCAGGGTGTCCATGCTTGACAGCATTTCCCATATATTTTCTATGTATTTGTTTTAAAGGAAATTGTTGTTCGTGAACAGTGATTACTTATTGCTTATCATATACAGTAAACTACGTTCATAACGAACACGCTTATAACGAACTGACCGATATAAGAACTTATTTTTTAGTCCCAGCCAGTTGTTGTATACATGCTGTAAATGTGCTTATAACGAACTACGGTTATTACGAACTAAAATTAGTGGTCCCTTTGAGTTCGTTATAACGGTAGTTTACTGTACAAGTAAACGAAGTAAAAGACACATGGCAGGTAGAGTGTTAGGGACCGAACATTTGATATTCGGAAGGGAGGCTGGGAGTTTTCAGCCACAGCTGCAAAACCAGATATTTTATTTTACTAATATATTTTTTTAAAGCGTAACAATGTGGCAGATACTTTCTCTCTGCCACAGCTGCAAAACCAGATATTTTATTTTACCAATATATTTTTTTTAAAGCGTAACAATGTGGCAGATACTTTCTCTTTTTTAAGCACCCGCCCCGAACAAAGTTGAATTGGACATTCCCTTAATCATTATAGTGTCGCCAGTTTTAAATATTTTAAAATATTTTTTTTACACACTATGTGCCATCAGCTTTAGTTTTAATGCGCTTGTGTACAGCAGAATATCAACAACGCAACACTGCTTAATCTGGATCAAGATTGAGACCGGATACTCGAGGTCGGATGCTGCAATAGGGACTTCCTCTGTAATCCCTTCTGTAAGCAGGGTAGGGGAGATTACCCTTTCCTCCCACTCGCGTCCACCCCCACTCACAACCACGTATAGATGAATTGTCTGTAAGCTTTGGGCTGACGCACGTGTTCACGATACCAACTGCTTTATGTAAGCTGGTCCAATAATGAGGGTATGGACGGCACACCTGTATTTATGTTACACTGATGTCGGGCACCGAGTCGTCCAAGGCACCGAGTTGCGTCCCTTATGAGTGCCAGAAACCTATGATCTTTGGATAATAGTACTTCAAGCAAAGTCGGTAACGTCTAAACCATGCATTACTTCGGGCTCTCCTCCCACGTCAAGCGTACACGCTGAAACACTGAAATACCGTTCAAACTGACCCACTCCCCATCCGCGGCGTGTGCAAGGAATGTGATACTGTTGTGAATACTCCCTGCATACGATAGCTACCTGCAGACTCAAATTAGAAGATAACCTTGTGGAAACTCACTGTATAAGCCAGCCTCCCTATAAGCTAGCCTCCTTATAAGCTAGCCTCCCTATAAGCTAGCAAGTACAATGTACAGTAAACTACGGTTATAACGAACTAAAAGGGACTGCTAATTTTAGTTCGTTATAGCCGTAGTTCGTTATAGGCATATAAACAGCATAGCTACAGCAAATAGTCGGGACCCAAAAAGTAAGTTCGTTTTATCCGTCAGTTCGTTATAAGCGTGTTCGCTATAACCGTATGTTACTGTATGTTGACTGATGCACTTGCAATGCTAAGGAAATACCTGACTTACATGCTGCTCCATTACTGAGACAGCCGCCATCATGGTATATTAAAGTGAATAGGTTATTGCGGTTTTACATGGTTTATGTATATGGCCCTTGCAGTCACGAATTATGCATATGTGTGGATATGTCAATGTTAAAAGTGGTCGTTGCTCTTGCCATGGATCTCGTCATGCTTTGGGAACCCCACCATTGATGTGGGCAGGACTGACTAACACTTTCTACATACGTTGCCTGCACTGCTGGGAGCTGTATGGATTGTGTGATTTGTTTGTTTGTTTGTTGTTTAACGCCGCACTCAGCAATATTCCAGCTATATGACGGCGGTCTGTAGGTAATCGAGTCTGGACCAGACAATCCAGTGATTGACAACATGGGCATCGATCTACGCAATTGGGATCGATGACGTGCATCAACCAAGTCAGCGAGCCTGACCACCGGATTCCATTAGTCGCCTTTTACGACACGTGCCCTCACACAATGTGTTGTATTGTCTAGACAAACTAAACACGTGCCCTCACACAATGTGTTGAATTGTCTAGACAAACTAGACACGTGCCCTCACACAATGTGTTGTATTGTCTAGACAAACTAAACACGTGCCCTCACACAATGTGTTGAATTGTCTAGACAAACTAGACACGTGCCCTCACACAATGTGTTGTATTGTCTAGACAAACTAGACACGTTCCCTCACACAATGTGTTGTATTGTCTAGACAAACTAGACATGTGCCCTCACACAATGTGTTGTATTGTCTAGATAAACTAAACACGTGCCCTCACACAATGTGTTGAATTGTCTAGACAAACTAGACACGTGCCCTCACACAATGTGTTGTATTGTCTAGACAAAGTAGACACGTGCCCTCACACAATGTGTTGTATTGTCTAGACAAACTAGACACGTGCCCTCACACAATGTGTTGTATTGTCTAGACAAACTAGACACGTGCCCTCAAAAATGTGTTGTATTGTCTAGACAAACTAGACACGTGCCCTCACACAATGTGTTGTATTGTCTAGACAAACTAGACACGTGCCCTCACACAATGTGTTGTATTGTCTAGATGAACATGTTACAAATCACAGACACAAAGTATAAACCCTCCTAACACTCGTAACAACCTGATACGTATGACACAGATAGTAAATGGACCAAATTAGCTCAAGTAATAAGGGACACTGTCTTGTTAAATTCTCAAAGCGTCCTTTAACTAGGAATAGACGTGGTATGGATGTGGTGGTGCTTCCAGATACACTAATTACCGAATTGCACTAAAACGTCAAAGAATATATCATATCTTCAGTAGGTTGTTTATCGTTAATGGCAAGCATTCTGTATACAGTGACTATACAGGTGTAGTGATCTGCTTCGTCCAGTGTATCCATTTGCAGAATCG